TTTATTTACAGGGGTAAATTTTGCTGAGTCTGATCCTTACTCAGTAAGTATACAAATGGAGCTTCTGGTAGAAGAACTCAAAGAGCAACGCCAAGATTTGAAAATACAGCTGGAAACCAAGGTGAGTGGGAGAGACAGCCTCTTGTATCTCAGTTAAAAGAACACCAACATAAGACTTAAGATCATTTCTGCTCATAGTTCCAGCAAAATCCAAGCTAGCTTTAATGGTATACTCTTAAATCATCTAGCCCAGGTATGGGCAAACTTGGACCCTCCAGGTGGTTTGGACTACAATTCCCAACAGCCTCAGGCCCTTTCCTTTTCCCCCTCAGCCGCTTAAGTGGCTGAGGGGGAAAAGGAAGGGACCTGAGGCTGTTAGGAATGGTGGGAGTTGGAGTCCAAAACACCTGGAGAGCTCAAGTTTGCCCATACTTGATCTAGCCTTTGTTCATACAGTAATATGAACTGTATGCTCTTAAGTAAAGAATTGTATGCTCTCAAGAAAAGGAAGGAGCCTAAGGCTGTTAGGAATTGTGGAAGTTGGAGTCCAAAACACCCGGAGGACCCAAGTTTGCCCATGCCTGGTCTAGCCTTTGTTCATACAGTAATATGAACTGTATGCTCTTGAGTAAAGAACTGTATGCTCTCAAGAAAAGGAAGAAGCCTGAGGCTGTTAGGAACTGTGGGAGTTGGAGTCCAAAACACCCGGAGGGTCCAAGTTTGCCCATGCGTGGTCTAGCCTTTGTTCACACAGTAATATGAACTATATGCTGTCAAGTAAAGGAAGGGGCCTGAGGCTGTTAAGAATTGTGGGAGTTGGAGTCCAAAAACACCTGGAGGGCCCAAGTTGGCCCAGGCCGTGTTCATACAGCAATATGAAGTGTATGCTCTTGAGTTACCGCTTTAGGCGGGGAGGCTAATTTAAGTAAATTACGATGCCATAAAAACCTCCAGCAGTGTGCAAAAGAATGAGGAAGTATTCCATAGGTGTCACAAGTGGACAGTGAAGCAACAGCTCCCCCGGTGGCCAGAATTCGGGCATACCCTCATGAAGCTGGAATTTTTAAATAGCCTCTGTGTGTCTATCTATATATGTTGTGTGTCTATGGCATTGAATGTTTGCCATGTATATGTGCATTGTGATCCGCCCTGTGCGGTGAGAAGGGCGGAATATAAATACTGTAAATAAATAAATAACTGTATGCTCTCAAGAAAAGGAAGGGCTTGAGGCTGTTAGGAATTGTGGGAGTTGGAGTTCAAAACACCCGGAGGACCCAAGTTTGCCCATGCCTTTGTTCATACAGTAATATGAACTGTATACTCTCTAGTTCTCAAGTCTTTATTTATAAACTCATTTGGATGGCATGTTTGGGGAAATATGGTTCCATGTTTTCCAAAATCCATGTTTATGTATTGGATTTTGTAATGTATTAGAGCTTGTCAATTTTCAGGGCATCTAAAAGGTTGAATTTGTATATGCGAGTGGGCTCAGTCCACCCCTGCTTGACCACAAGGAATATAAAAGCACAAAACTTTCAGAATATGGGGTAAACCTTTCAGTGCAAGGTTCCTTTTATATGGAAAGCTCTTCGTTATTAAACAAAATGCTCTTGCAGTAACACCTCCTTGGAAGTGAAAGTCAGGGGAATATAATCCTAGTTCTTGCAAAATGCACACGATCTTATTTCTGTGGCTGTCATTAAACATAACGTTCCAAAGCAGTGTGTGCCTCTTTGAAAACTGTGCTACTTAAAAAGATGCCTAAAGCCTTTTACCTTTTCTAGGTCAACTACTATGAAAGAGAAATCGAGTTAATGAAAAGGAACTTTGAGGAGGAGAGGAAAGACATTGAACAAGGTTTCAAGATTGAGATAAGTGAGCTGGAGGAGCAGAGAAACGACCTGGAAGAACTGAATGCAAAATACCAGGAGGTGATGGATGGCTTGAAAGCTCAGCTTCAGAAACTGATCCCGCTCCAAGAACTCAAGAAGAGCTTTGAGAAGGAGAGATCCGAAATGGAGCAGTACTATGCCAAAGAAATTTCCAACCTGGGACAAAGGCTGGCCCAAGAAAGGGACAGATTGGAGGACGACTTGAAAAAGAAGCACGAGATTGAGATGGACCTCATGAGGTCTGGTGCCTTTGCTTTTTGGAATTCTAAGTTCAATAGATCCATGTATTATGGAAGGGATCAATTCTGGGCGTCCTTGCTTTTGTATTATTTTCATATAATATCAGGAATCCTTCCCCATGGATAGTATGCCACCAAAAGCTGAAAATACTGTGCAGTCAAAATATTTCATATGGTAAAGGTACCCCCTAACATTAAGTCTAGTTGTGTCTGACTCTGGGGGTGGTGCTCGTCTCCATTTCTAAGCCTAAGAGCCGGTGTTGTCCATAGACACCTCCAAAGTCATGTGACCTCCATGACTGCATGGAGTGCCATTACCTTCCTACAGAAGCGGTACCAATTGATCTATTCACATTTGCATGTTATCAAACCTCTAGGTTGGCAGAAGCTGGGCCTAACAGCAGGAGCTCACCCCACTCCCAGATTTGAACTGCCAATCTTTCAGTCAGCATGTTCAGCAGCTCAGCGGTTGTTTATTTGTTCAGTCGCTTCTGATTCTTCATTCTCTCATGGACCAGCCCACGGCAGAGCTCCCTGTCGACCGTCACCACCCCCAGCTCCTTCAGAGTCAAACCAGTTATTTCAAAGTATGTATATGTATATATATACATATATACATACATACATACATACATATGCACACCATATATATATATATACCTGTATATATAGGTAAAGGTTTCCCCAGACATTGAGTCTAGTCGTGTTCAACTCTGGGGGGGAGGGAGGTGCTCATCTCCATTTCTAAGCCAAAAAGCCGACGTTGTCCATAGACACCTCCAAGGTCATGTGGCCAGCATAACTGCATGGAGTGCCATTACCTTCCCGCAGAAGTGGCACCTATTGATCCACTGGCACTTGCATGTTTTCAAACAGCTAGGTTGGCAGAAGTTGGGCCTAAAAGTGGGAGCTCACCCGCACCCCAGATTTGAACCGCCAACCTTTCGGTCAGCAAGTTCAGCAGTTCAGCAGTTTAACTCGCTGCACCACCAGGGGGCCCTTAACCTGTATTTATAATTTGTTTCTTATTCTGCAACCAGGTTAGTTTTGGCACACTGATAGAACCTAGGTAACTTCTGATGAAAGAAATCTTACTATTTTTACCTAGTTGACATTTCTTTTCTTCTAGTCTTTAAATACTTTCTTGTATTGCAATGCAGAATTGAACTTGCCGCCATTTCAGAAGACAACACTCTCCTGAAAAATAAACTAGGAATATCTCAGCGAGAAGTGGAGGATGCTTGTGAGGAAAATGCAAAGCACAGGTAAAAAAAAATTTAGGGGGATTGTTAAGCTTGTGTGGGTGAATCCCTCTAGGTTAGTCCAGATAAGATTCCTGCTGTACTCCAGATGCTGATTTCCAAAGTTTAGGAGCTTGAGCCAGCAAATCAATTGGTGATGGTGCTGGGAGCTCGAGTCCAGCAACATCTGGAGGGCCACATGATTCCTACCTTGGCTTAGAAGGAGGAACTTAAAATGTTTTCAGAAGAGGCAAAGGAGCCCCCGGTGATGCAATGGGTTAAGCCCTTGTGCCGGCAGGACTGAAGGCCAACAGGTTGCATGTTGAAATCTGGGGAGAGCGCATATGAGCTCCCTCTGTCAGCTCCGGCTCCATATGCGGGGACATGAGAGAAGCCTCCCACAAGGAGGGTAAAACATCAAAACATTCAGGCATCCCCCTGGGCAACATCCTTGCAGATAGCCAATTCTCTCACACCAGAAGCGACTTGCAGTTTCTCAAGTCACTCCTGACACAAAAAAAAGAAGAGGCAAGCCATTGAACAAACGGAACTTGTAATTAGAAAATCTTAATTAAAGAGAATGCAGAGTACAGACAAGTGGTCCCCAACCTGTGGTCCATGGACCTCCAGTGGCCCACAAGAATGAAAATAAGGTCTGCAGCCTCATCATTACTACACCGTGGTGACGAGACCACGTGGCAACGAGAGCGACTGGTCTCACTAAACCCTCTTATAGTTCCGAGGCAATAGGGATATCAGGAGAGGAGAGGCTGACTACCCACAGAAGATTACTACTATCACATCAGCTATAAGTTATTAAATATGGTTTTCTGTGGGTGAGCAGATGGCAACTACTGGATGGTATATGTTCTGTATCAGAAACGAGAGCTGATGTGGTCTATTCAGTGCAATTTTCTGAATCAGCACCCCCAAATGACCAAATCAAATCTAAAGTTGACCAAAAACTGATTTGTATCCCTTTTGGTACTAACGTTGGAGAGTGGTCCCTGGTCAAAAAATGGTTGGGAACCACTGGTATAGACAAAATCAGTATTTGCACTGTGGCTGCATCAATGCAAGCATGGTTCATTTGTGGAAACACTAGTACATCCGAAAGGATTGACAGCTCAAAAATACAGAGATTACAGAAGTTGTTGGTCTGATGCCCAAAATCACCATAAATTTATACATGGCTGTTGGCAGTTGTTAATTGCCATCAAGTCAGCTTTGATTGGTAATGATCATGTTGACGATGACAATGACGATGAAATGAGTGATCGCCAGGATATCCTGCCGAGGATGGGAAATGCAACAGCTACTGTTAAATTTCAAAATAAAAATAGATACAATAAGATTACATTAATTGAGGCATCAGTAGGTTAAATGTTTTTGAATATTTGCATAAAATTTAGGATAAGACTTAATCAACTCTGATTAAACAATTATTCTAACCCTTTTCAGTGTAAATGTGCTTACGTATCCTTCCAATAATAATGATGGGAGTAAAATAATAAATGTAATAAAAATAGAGTAAAATAATAGAAATGTAATAATAACAGTAATAATAGAGTAAAATAATAAATGTAATAATAGAATAAAGTAATGTAAATGTAATAATAATAATAATAATAATAATAAATGGAGTAATAACAACAGCAGTAATAAAAACCCAGTAAAACAATAAATAACACTGATTCAAATATGACTTGAGAAGGGCTTTTTCAGCCTAAAAAAGGGCTGAAAAACGTGGCTTATACTCAATTATATTTTAGGTCAAAATCTGTAGAAAGTCTATTTAAATCAAATTTGTTACCATTTATTTAAATCATTTTTTTTCTGTTCAGAAAGCAAATCGATGAACTGAAGATGGAAAGAGAGACGGCCATGTGCAAAATAGAAGAATTAAACCAACTGGTGAGTCTGTAAAAGCAATTTGCTGTCGTGTAGAGGCAAACTCCAGTTCAGGCAATTGAATCACTGGAATTCTAGAAGCCTTATTTACGAAAATATTCACTTTGAGGACAATAACTTCACACTACAGCAGTTCAGCTATTCCACGGGCCCTCATCCTATTTGTCAATAGTCAGTGCCAATCCCACTTGCACAGGATTTTCCTCCAAAATATTCCAGATACCTTCTCATTCTCATGAGAATGACATTGAAGCTATTTTGAGGGTTTCTAACTCCCTCTGCAGGTGCAGGCCATAAATCTGCCAGGCAAAGATAAGCACTTCCCTATGAATGAAAGAAAGTGCCATTTCCCAACTACCTCAATATGTAAGCAAATACCAACATGGTTAAAGCAAGATAACATCCAAAGCAAATAATACATAGCCAATACAAACAACTACATACAACAAATGGAGAAAAAAACATAGCAAGGCTCAGGCTCCTGACAGTAGCAGAGGAATACATCTAATTTCTCCCACTTGGTTCACTGCCAAATAGTTCAAAACATTACAGAGAGTGTAATATTTGCCATTGAGAAGTAGAAATAGATCTTGTGTATCCTTTCGGCCTTTTGCAGTTAGAACAGCATTTCTGGGGGTCAGGACCCTCTCAGCCAAGCAGAGGGCTGTTTCTGAGACTTCAAGTGGGGAGGGGAGAGCAGACATGCTTTATGCATGACAGCATGGTGCACATGTGCTGCTGAGGGAGAGAGTGTGAGGCTGGAGGGGGGCTCTTGCCAGCGAGTCTCTTCAAGGCATGGGGGTTCTATGTGGGAAGTTTGGCACAATTATCTCGGTGGTGGGGTTTAGAATGCTCTTGGGTTGGAGGTAAACTATAAATCCCAGCAACTACAACTCCCAAATGTCAAGGTCTATTTTCCCCAAACTCCACCAGTGTTCACATTTGAGCATATTGAGTATTCCTGCCAAGTTTGGTCCCGATATGTCATTGTTTGAGTCCACAGTGCTCTCTTAATGTAGGTGAACTACAACTCCAAAACTCAAAGTCAATGCCCAAAAAACCCTTCCAGTATTTTTGTTGGTCATAGGGGTTCTGTGTGGGAACTTTGGCCCAATTCTATCATTGGTGGGGTTCAGAATACTCTTTGGTTGTAAGTAAACTATAAATCCCAGCAACTACAACTCCCAAATGTCAAGGTCTATTTTCCCCAAACTCCACCAGTGTTCACACTTGAACATATTGAGTATTCATGCCTAGTTTGGTGCAGATCCATCATTGTTTGAGTCCACAGTGCTCTCTTAATGTAGGTGAACTATAACTCCAAAACTCAAGGTCAATGCTCACCAAACCCTTCCAGTATTTTCTATTGTCATGGGAGTCCTGTGTGCCAAGTTTAGTTCAATTCCATCGTTGGTGGAGTTCAGAATGCTCTTTGATTGTAAATCCCAGCAACTACAACTCCCAAATGGCAAAATCAATCACCTGCAACACCACCAGCATTCAAATTTGGATGTATCAGGCATTTGTGAACAGATTTGGTCCAGTGAATGAAAATACATCCTGCAACTCAGATATTTACGTTATGATTCATAACAGTAGCCAAATTAGTTATGAAGTAGCAATTAAAATAATTTTATGGTTGGGGGTCACCACAACCTGAAGAACTGTATTAAGAGGTTGCGGCATTTAGGAAGGTTGAGAAACACTGAGTTAGAAAAAGGGTCTGGTAGCCTACAATGCCACTTTCTGAGACCCTCAAGAGTTATTGTCAATGACAATATGAGTGTGAAGCTCCTTTATACATGTCATCTTTGGGCTGACTTGCATTAACTCTACATGATTTCAAAAAGAGATCCTTGTCCTAACTCTGTCTAAAGATGGCAGATTGGATCCAAGACCTCCTGCAAGTGAAATCTGTTGTTCTCTTATCTGCATCCCATCCCAATAATAAGGAAGAAAAATAGTCTGAGCTAGTAAATGGCAGCAAGTTGCTTTTCCCGAAGTGATTGTTAAGACATCTCTGGAATCCTAGCCATGGGTTGTGTAGGGAAAGGAAGACATAGGGTTAAAGGAGAGAAGGGAAAAGCAGGAGGAAGTTTGAGGATGGTTACCTAGTGCTTCCCTGCAACGAACTGCTGACTTTTGCAGATCTAGATTTCCTTTGAATGTGACATTCAAAGTGATTATTAACCAAACACAGGTTCATGCTGCAGGGCAGCTGCTTTGAAATAACATCCCCACATTTAGCCTTTGATGTCCACAGAGCAGTTGGAGTGATCTTAATCTTTTGCACTATATAATGTTTTGCAATTCTAATTTTATCCTTGCAGTTCATTCTGGAGACTTTACACCAGGCTTGGGCCAACTTGGGCCCTCTGAGTGTTTTGGACTCCAACTCCCACCATTCCTAACAGCCTCGGCCCTTTCCTTTTCACCCTCAGCTGCTTAAGGGAGGAAAGGAAGAGACCTGAGGCTGTTAGGAATGGTGGGAGTTGGAGTCCAAAACACTCAGAGGGCCCAAGTTGGCCCAAGCCGTCTTTAGACCAAGAGGCACGAATTATGCCCAAGAGTATACAGCTTGGTCTTGGGCTCAATTCAAAACGTTGGTTATGATTTATGAAGTCCTATATGCCTTAAGTTCAGACTATCAGAAAGATTATATTCCTATCTCCCGTCCATTCTCCAGTCCCACCTCCACAAAGAAATAATAATAATAATAATAATAATATATTACAGTATAATGGATATAGTGCAATATAGCAATATTTAAAACTGATATTGTACTATGTTAATAATATATTGTATGTATATATACTTTGTAAGCTGCTCTGAGTCCCTTCGGGGTGAGAAGGGCGGCATATAAATGTTGTAAGTAAATAAATAAATAAATAAATAACAACAACAACTGCAAAGACTCTGACACAAGCCAGTAAAGGTGGTCCCAGTGGTGATCGGCACACTGGGTGCAGTGCCTAAAGACCTTGGCCTGTACTTAAACACAATTGGCGCTGACAAAATTACCATCTGCCAGCTGCAGAGGGCCACCTTACTGGGATCTGCACGCATTATTTGCCGATACATCACACAGTCCTAGACACTTGGGATGTGTCCAGCGTGTGATCCAATACAACAGCCAGCAGAGTGATCTTGTCTGCTGTGGACTCATCTTGTTGTGTTTCAAATAATAATAATCATAATCATAAGTTGCTGTGACATATCGTGTTTTTGGGTCAGTAAAATAACAACAACAACAACAACACTTTATTTATATTCCACCCTATCTCCCCAAGGGGACTTAGGGCAGATCACAGTACACAAACATTCAATGCCATTTTGGATAGACAATATAGAGACAGACAGAATAGAAAGGAGGTATGTTGTGTCGAAGTCCAGCTTTTGAGCGCCTTGGAAGGTTGTGATTGAATCCAGCCACAGAGGGAGTGCTGTCACTCCATCCTGTATGACGAAGAGCCATCAGGACTTCCTCCTTCCTTTTAGTTGCTGGAAATTTTTCTGATCTTTTTCCTTATGGTGGCATAAAATATCTCCCTCGCTTGTTTTAGCGGTACCTAATTTCTCTACTTACCTCTTAAGCTGCTTAGGTCAACAGTAAGCTGGGCTGATAGTCAGGAGCTCACTCCAACCCAGGGCAACCTGGCAACCTTTTGGTTGGTAGATCTTATCATTGCTGGTGATTTACCAGCTGTGCTAAAGCCCAACCCCTATTTTGTTCATGATGGATGCTAGACCTTTAAATGTGTACACTTTTTGCTTCAGAATAATCACTACAAGGAGGAAACTTTCCAGTTGAAGGCTAGGATCAATCAGCTGAGCCACGAAGTCTCTGAACAAAGCAGCAACAATAAGGCCAATCGGAAAACAATTGCTGAACTGAAGCAGAGGTTTGCAGAGCTGGAGAGTCAAAAACAGCACGAAGCTGTGGTTGCCAAGCGACTTCAGGAGGCCTCTGCTGAATTGACAAAGGAGCATCTTCAGCTGCAGTTGGCATGGCAGGGAGAACAGGCCCGGCTGGAGCAAGAGCTGAAGGCCTCCAGGGAAAAGGTAATGAATGTTGATTTAAACAGAGAGTGTACTCTTAGGAGTGGCACATGATTTCAGTGCCGTAATATCCTACAGCAGAAAGGTAATGCCAGTGATATTGTGCCACTCAGGTTGGGAAACAATGCTAAGGTAATGTTTCTCAACCAGCCAAAAGGATAGAAAAATAATAAATGAACAATACAGTTGAGAATATGTGTTGTCAAAGGCTTTCGTGGCCGGAATCACTGGGTTGCTGTGAGTTTTATGGGCCTTATGGCCATGTTCCAGAAGCATTCTTTCCTGACGTTTCACCCACATCTATGGGAGGCATCCTCAGAGGTTGTGAGGTCTGTTAGAAACAAAGGATTCCCCAGGCAGGAAGCAGCCAGTCTTTGAAGCTGCAAGGCCATTCAGTGCTAATCAAGCTGGCCAATTGCAACATAATAATAATATAATAATAATAATAATAAAACTTTATTTATAAACCGCTCTATCTCCCCGAACAAAGTAAAAACAACATAACCATAAGATTAACCAAACAAAATATGCATTAAAAATTGTCACCATAACACACATATATTAAAAGTAATCCTGCCTGTTCAAGGCAATTTAAAACATTTAAAAGGCCGGGCCAAGATTTGTGCAAGCCCAAAAATTCTAGGGGTCCCGGGAATTAAATGCAATGCTATGGCAGGCAACAATAATATTAGGTACATCAACACCCGTCCTTGCACTTTACTATTGTTCTGTACCCAAAGCTATAAGTCTCCATTTACATTGCCCTCTTATCTCTATTTCTACCATATGACCTATGCACTTTATCCACCAACCCTATCCTCACAATTGTTTTTGCACCAGTCCACCCTCCCATGGCCAGAACCTAATTATTATTGCTTATTGGTTGGTTCAATGCTTGCTTTTATATTTTGTTACAGTGTTGCTGTTTTATTCTGTTTTATGCTGTTATTGTGTATTTTAATGTGTTGCCTTTTAACTATGTTGATCAGGCTCATCCCCATGTAAGCCGCCCTGAGTCCCTTCGAGGAGACAGAGGTGGGGTACAAAATGCAAGATATTATTAAGAGTTCTTTCTCCCACCCTGGACATTCCACAGATATATAAACCCCACTTGCCTAGCTTCCAGCAGACTTTGCAATCTCTAAGGATGCCTGCCATAGATGTGGGTGAAATGTCAGGAGAGAATGCTTCTGGAACATGGCCATATAGCCCGGAAAACTCACAGTAACCCAAGTTTAGAATAGAACAGGGAGTCAGTACACTGAAACATGAAGAAAACAGGTTGTGTATCCCTTATCCAAAATGCTTGGGACCCAGAGGGTTTTAGATTTCAGATTTTTTGACTTTTGGAATACCTGTTTTGGCATATATGTACATAATCTTGGAGATGGGACCCAAGTTTAAACACAGAATTTATTTATTTATTTATTTTCTGTCAAAAGCATTACATAAATAAATAAGTTTAAAACTGGTCAAAAATAAAGATTCTTGAGACCTTATTTAGCACAAACTGCTAAGTAGTTTTAAACCAAAAACAGGCAACTGCACTGTCTGTAGCTTTAAACAGTTCTCCCTCTGCGCATGAGGCAGGGCACTGTGGGCAAGTATACAGGTGCTGAGTTGTTTGTTCTGCTCCACAGTCGTACAAGGTAGAAGATTCTTCTAGGTAGTGCCATTTAGCCAGGTTGTCTTTTGATTTGCCACTCCACCTCTGAGTCTGTTCAGGGATTTCCAAGTTGCCCATTCTTGGTTTGCCTCTGGAGGAAGACCCTTGTCAGGGGCCATCCAGTTAGAATTGCCTGATTTTGCTGCCCACAGGGATATTTTTGCTGTTGCTAGAAGAACACTTAGAGGAGTGGTCATTCTCATGAAACTTTCCCTTGATTTAAGTCTACTGGGAGGAGGATGATAGCCATGCAGTGGGTGGCTTTCACAGTGTTCAGCCTTATTTCTCTCGCAATTGGCCGCAACTTCCTGTCGCACATCAGGGGAGGCAATGCCAACTAGCTTATAGAGTCTATCAACAGGTATAGGTTTAGGACATCCTGTGATTATTCTGCATATTTCATTTAGTGCTATATTACCTGCTTCACGTGGGCAAATTTATGCCAGACAGGGCAGGCATACCCAGCAGTTGAGTAAGACAAAGCCATGGCTGATGTTCTTATTAATTTTGGGTCTGCACCCCATGCACTACTAGTAAGTTTCCGCAGGATGTTATTGCATGCAGCTACTTTGTGCTTAGTGTTCACACAGTGTTTCCTAAATGTTAATGTTCGATTTAAGGTGACGCCGAGATATGTAGGGTAGGAACAGTGTTCAAGCTCTTGGCCTTCCCAGGTGACTTTTGGTTTCCTGTTGGCTTCACAATTACATAGATCAGTGGTTCTCAACCTGTGAGACCCCAGGTGTTTTGGCCTATAAGTCCCAGAAATCCCAGCCAGTTTACCAGCTGTTAGGATTTCTAGGAGTTGAAGGCCAAAACATCTGGGGACCCACAGGTTGAGAACCGCTGACATAGATGGAAAGCACACACAATATAATATAATATAATTTACATTTCATATATATCATATATACATATATCATATATACATATTTATTTATTTACAACATTTATATGCCGCCCTTCTCACCCCGAAGGGGACTAAGAGTGGCTTACAAGATATATATATACATACAATATAGGGGTTGGACTGGATGGCCCATGAGGTCTCTTCCAACTCTATGATTCTATGATTTGATGATTAGCGCAGTACAATAACAGTATAACATATTACTGTATTGTACTATATCATTCTATTGTAATCTTATTAGTAATATTACATGTAATATAAAATATATGATAATATTGTATTATTAGTAGTATTCTACTGTATTACATTATAATATTATAAATATTATATGAATACATTATATTATATGAATACATTTATATTATATTATATTATATTATATTATTAGTAAAGCTCAGGATGGAACTGTCTTTTGCCCCCCTCTCTCTTCACTCTGGCGCAGAGCAGCTGTTGGTGCTGGGGGAGGTGGGGGGAGCAGAAGATAGTTATATACATACATACGTACATACATATATAGTACATATATATATAAACCCTTTTTCCTAGTTCCAACAGACCTCACTACCTCTGAGGATGCTTGCCCTAGATGCAGGCGAAATGTCAGGAGAAAATGCCTCTAGACCATGGCCATATAGCCCGAAAAAACCTACAACAACCCAGTGATTCCGGCCATGAAAGCCTTCAACAATACATGTATACATAACCATTATGGTTTGAAGGAATGGGATTGCAAGAAATCATTCAGTTTTTATCTGTATTTATGTCCTTGGTTTTCTATCATCATGGTCTAGTTTGGCCAGCCTCCCATGTTGTTGGATGTATTTTACTAATGCTCAAAATACACAGAATGAATGAAAGTTGTGTGATACTAAGGATAGCACTTGTTGGGATCATTCTGAGTGTACTATTTTAGGTAAAGCAAAGGCAAAAAGGGGAGTTTTACTCATTTCCCTTGCCCTTTGCTACCTCATTGTACTAGCCCTGGTCCTGCCCTATTATTTCTATTCAGCAGACCCTGGAAATGAATAGCCCCAGGCACTACTCTGGCTATGAGTTAGGACCCTGTTTTGTACTTTATCCACTTCCCAGGCCCTATATGTCCCCATTGGTCCAGCCCTCTTATAGCTGTGCATCAGGCCTTGGAAATAAATAGCTCCAGGTCCCACCCTGACCATCAGGCAATACCATGCTTGCACTTTACCCACTCCCTGGGCCTTAGTCTACTTCATTATACTAGCCCATCCCACTCATAGTGGTCAAGGTCCACTCTGGAATTCTGGCCATTGGAAACTGAACTTGCCTGATGGAAATTGGTACTGAACTGGCTTTTAATTATAAATATGTATGACTGTTGTGTAGTATTATGTCTATGTTTTATAATGATTATTTTGTATGTTTTTGTGTTGGTGATTGCAAAGCTTTACCTATGCTGGAAACCGCCCTAAGTCCCACTGGGGAGATAGAACAGTATACAAATAAAAGATTATTATTATTATTATTATTATTATTATTATTATTATTATTATTATTACTAGCCGACCTCTGCCACGCATTGCTGTGGCCCACATGGGGGCTCTGTGTGGGAGGTTTGGCCCAATTCTATCGTTGGTGGGGCTCAGAATGCTCTGTGATTGTAGGTGAACTATAAATCCCAGCAACTACAACTCCCAAATGTCAAGATTCTATTTTTCCCAAACTCCACCAGTGTTCACCTTTGGGCATATTGAGTATTCATGCAGTGTTTGGTCCAGATCCATCATTGTTTGAGTCCACAGTAATCTCTGGATGTAGGTGGACTACAGCTCCAAAACCAAAGGACACTGCCCACCAAACCCTTCCAGTATTTTCTGTTGGTCATGGGAGAACTGTGTTCCAAGTTTGGTTCAATTCCATCGTTGGTGGAGTTCAGAATGCTCTTTGATTGTAGGTGAACTATAAATCCCAGCAACTACAACTCCCAAATGACAAAATCGATTTTTTTTTAGTGAAGGACATACATTGGGTTGTTAGGTGTCTTGTGTCCAAATTTGGTGTCCATTAGCCCAGTGGTTTTTGAGTTCTGTTAATCCCACAAACGAACATTACATTTTTATTTATATAGATCAGTGTTTCCTCAACCTGGGGGTCGGGACCCCTAGAGGGGTCACAAGGGGGTGTCAGAGGGGTCACCAAAGACCATCAGGAAAAACAGTATTTTTTGTTGGTCATGGGGTTTATGTGTGGGAAGTTTGGCCCAATTCTATAGTTGGTAGCGTTCAGAATGCTCTTTGATTGTAGGTGAACTATAAATCCCAACAACTACAACTCCCAAAAGTCAAGGTCTATTTTCCCCGGGCTCCACCAGTGTTCCCATTTGCACATATTGAGTATTTGTGCCAAGTTTGGTCCAGATCCACCATTGTTTGAGTCCACAGTGCTCTCTGGATATAGGTGAACTACAACTCCCAAACTCAAGGTCAATGCCCACCAAACCCTTCCAGTGTTTTCCGTTGGTCATGGGAGTTCTGTGTGGCAAATTAGGTTCAAATCCATCGCTGGTGGAGTTAAGAATGCTCTTTGATTATAGGAACTATAAATCCCAGCAACTACAACTCCCAAATTACAAAATCAATCCTCCCCCAACCCCACTAGCATTCACATGTGGGTGCATTGGGTATTTGTGCCCAGTTTGGTCCAGTGAATGAAAATACATCTTGCATATCTGATATTTACATTATGATTTATAACAGTAGTAAAATGACTGTTATGAAGTAGCAACAAAAACAATGTTATGGTTGGGGGTCACCACAACATGAGGGACTGTATTAAGGGGTCACGGCATTAGGAAGGTTGAGAAACACTGATATAGATTATTATATTAACTAAAAATTATGACAGGTGAAAATTCTATAATGTCTTTGTTCATTGCCTTAGTATAGCTAGTAAATGGGTATGTATTTGTGTGTGGTGAAATAGTGTACTACTCACTGTTAACAATCAACCTCCATGTGTTATTGCAGACATGAGCAAACTTTAGCCCTCCGGGTGTTTTGGACTTCAACTCCCACAATTCCTAACAGCCTACCGGCTGTTAGGAATTGTGGGAGTTGAAGTCCAAAACACCGGGAGGGCTAAAGTTTGCCCATTCCTGTTCTAAGCACAGTGGAGACAAATGATGGCTGTTGTATAATTGTCGCAAACACAGCTTGTCTTGCAGGACTTGATACTGAACGGTATGACTTGGCTATTGTCGCCCTTCCTTGTCCTTCCCATTTTGTGCAGAGCAAGCGGCTTCAGGAGCTGGAGTCTGAACTGGAGCGTTTGACTCAGGAACGTCAAGTGCTGCGTCTCGCTAAAGCCCAACTGACGGACGAGGTGGAGGAATGTCGGGATCAGGTAGGATGGCATTGTTTGCTGCCACCACTGAATAATGCATCCCTTTGGCTCATTCTCACAATCACTCTGTGTTTTCCAAACAAGGGCCTCAGCATTTCTTAGGTAAAGCAGTGGTGAAGCACATTTCATGTCCTCGGGTAGGAATAAAAGGACTAGTAATGTGCCCACAAATTACATATATATTCGCAGGAACAAATCCAATCCAATAATTACAGGCTTGAGCAAGTGTTACGGAGGTAGTCTTGTTGCTGTTCATGACTATTACCTAGCTATGCACTTCTTACTATGCTAAAATAGTAGAGAAACACAAATAATAATAATAATAATAATAATAATAATAATAATAATAATAATAATTTATGGTGGCGGGATATAAATAAAGATTATATGCCCAAATTTGAATACTGGTAGGTTTTGAGGGGAATTGGCCTGGACATTTTTTAGTTGTAGTTACTGGGATGTGTAGTTCACCTGCAATCATTTTTTTTTTTATTTCTCGTGTTAGGGCAGCCAGTCAATTATATTACATTTCTAACAGAACAAAGCAAACAAACAGAGAAAATACAAAATTTGTGAGTTTGGTAGTTGATTAAATGTCCTTTGACCAGTATCTGGCCACTTGGAGTGCTTCTGGTGTTGCTGCAAGAAGGTCCTCCATTGTGCATGTGGCAGGGCTCAGGTTGCATTGCAGCAGGTGGTCAGTGGTTTGCTCCTCTCCACACTTGCATGCCGTGGATTCCACTTTGTAGCCCCATTTCTGAAGGTTGGCTCTGCATCTTGTGGTGCCAGAGCACCGTCTGTTCAGCGCCTTCCAAATCTCCCAGTCTTCTGTGTGCCCAGGGGGAGTCTCTCATTTGGTATCAGCCATTGGTTGAGGTTCTGGGTTTGAGCCTGCCACTTTTGGACTCTCGCTTGCTGAGGTGTTCCAGCGAGTGTCTCTGTAGATCTTAGAAAACTATGTCTAGATTTAAATCATTGACGTGCTGGCTGATACCCAAACAGGGGATGAGCTGGAGATGTCTCCATCTTTGGTGGAGTTCAGAGTGCTCACTGATTGCAGGTGAGGTGGGGGGGGGGGGGAATCACCTGCAATCAGTGAGCACTCTGAACTCCACCAAAGATGAAATGGACCAAACTTGGCACACGAAGCTCCAATGACCAACATAAAATACAGGAGGTCTTTGGAGGAAATTTACCTTGATTTAGAGGAGTTGTAGTTCACCTACATCCAGAGAGCACTGTGAACTCAAACACGGATAGATCTGGACCAAACTTGGCACACATACCTGAAAAGCCAAATTTTGATTACTGGAGGGGTTTGGGGGAAACTGACCTTCCTTTCTGGGAATTGTAGTTCACCCACAACCAGAGAAAATGTGACCTCCACCGATGATGGACCTGGACCAAACTTGGTACATAGAACTCCTGGGCCCAACTCAACCTATTAGAGGGGTTTGAAGGGACAGACTCTTCAAACTCCTTAGTGGGAGTTGTAATTTACCCTATGGCCAGAGAACACTGAACTTCACATATGATGCATCCAGAGCAAACTTGCCCAACATAAGAAACTTTAAGTATTGTTGGAAGCTCTCAGGGTTACCTGGCATGATGTGAGTTGTAGTTCTCTCACAGCCTTATACATTTTGTGCAGTTTTAAAAATGACTTTTTCTGATAACCCGGGCAATGTTGGGTACCCAAGCTAGTATTTAAATATTTCTAGGACCAAATGCCATTGCTAGGAGAGAATAATTGAAGTATGGACATAAAATAGATGCTTAGATGGGGATCCGTCTCAAGTCAGACCTCTGTTTCATACATTTGCTATTAAAATATACAAGAGGAGTGAGCATATGTATCTAGGCTAGGAATAGAATGGCATTTCTTTTACATTCAAGTGAAATAATCACTGTGCAGACTTAACAGACTTGCTGTGCATTGGCAACCTGTTGCAATCTTACAAGGCTCGCAGTCCCTATTAAAATGGCATACAGTAGCTAGCAGTAAATATGTATATACTCGAGTATAGGCTGACCCAAATATAAGCCGAGGCATCTAATTTTCCAACAAAAAACTGGGAAAACGTACTGATTCGAGTATAAGCCGAGGGTGGGAAATGCAGCAGATACTGGTAAATTTCAAAATAAAAATAGATACCAATAAAATTATATTAATTGAGGCATCAGTAGGTTAAATATTTCTGAATATTTACATAAAACTGTAATTTCAGGTAAGGCTGCCCACCTCTGATTAAACCATTATTGTAACCTTCTATGTAAATGTGCTTATGTATCCTTCCAATAATAATAAAGATAGCAAAATAATAAATGTAATAATAATAATAATAGAGTAAGATTGAAATATATCAATAATAATAGAGAAAAATAATAAATGTAATAATAACAATAATAAATAGAGAAAAATAATAAATGTAATAATAATAGAGCAAAATAATAACAGTGCTCCATACAGTCATGCTGGCCACATGATCTTGGAGGTGTCTACGGACAATGCTGGCTCTTCGGATTAGAAATGGAGATGAGCTCCAACCCCCAGAGTTGGATACGACTGGACTTAATGTCAGGCAAAAACCTTTACCTTTACCTTAAAATAATAAATGTAATAAACATATTAATCATAACAGACTAAAATAATAATGATCTTGTCTGGAGTGTAAGCCGAGGGGAGGCTTTTTCAAGCTAAAACATGGGCTGAAAAACTCTGCTTATACTTGAGTATATATGGTAATTTGCAAATAATCATATTTGTGGGAATTAAATCCACAGATGTGGAGAAACAACTGTAGTATTACTTCTACGTTTCTGATCTAAAATAACTAGTCAGTTGGCTCTTGATAACACAACTTGAAAATTAGATAGAAAGTTGGTACTTGATTCCAATAAACGAGTTAGTTGACTCTTGATAAGACATTTAAATCAATTTACCCAGATTTCTTGTCATGTAATTCTTCTCAGAGTTCTCTGGATCCATAAGGGCCCACAAAAGATTGTGATTGAAAAAAGAAAAAAAACATTTTCTTTATTATTGTTGTTATTATTATTTGAAACCCAACAAGATGAGTCCACAGCAAACAAGATCACTCTGGCTGTTGTACTGGATCACACGTCGGACACTTCCTAAGTGTCTAGACTGTGCGATGTATCGGCAAATAATGTGTGCAGATCCCAGTAAGGTGGCCTTCTGCAGCTGGCAGATGGTAATCTTGTCAGTGCTGATTGTGTTTAAGTGCAAGCCAAGGTCTTTAGGCACTGCACCTAGTGTGCTGATCACCATTGGGACCACCTTTACTGGTTTGTGCCAGAGTCTTTGCAGTTCAATCTTTAAATCCTCATATCGTGTCAGCTTTTCCAGTTTCTCTTCAATCCTGCTGTTGCCTGGGATTGCAACACTTTGTTTTTTAGCACGATCGTGAAGTCAGGAGTATTGTGCTCCAAAACTCTACCAGTCTGAATTCGGAAGTCCCAGAGTAGTTTGACATGTTCATTTTCTGTAACTTTTGCAGGCTTGTGATCCCACCAGTTCTTTGTCGCAGGCAGATGGTATTTGTGGCACAAGTTCCAATGAATCATCTTAGCAATGGTGTTATGCCTCTGCTTATAGTCTGTCTGCGCGATCGTTTTGCAGCATCTGAAGATACGATCTATAGTTGTTGTTGTTACTTAGCTGTAGATACAATTGACTCCCCCCCCCCCCCTTGTCATCTAGCTATTGGAAGCCAATACACGCTTAAGCCTGGCGGAGTCTAGGCATGTAGAGGAGCTCCAGCAGCTAAGAAGCCAAATGGACGGTTTTGTCCCAAAGGACTGCCTTGCTGAGGTAGAAAACAGACTGAGAGAAGAACAGGAAAGGATTAGACTCTTGGAAGGAGAATTCAACTTCCAGGCAGAGCAGATGAGGCGGCAATTGTCCATATATCAGGTAAGAAGGAACTGTATTTGAGTTGACTTTCCTGCTGCAGATATGCATAAGTGGTTCTCATAGTAAGACTTCAAATTGTAGTTTTGTATTAAATGCCCAAGAAGAAAATAACATGCTCCTTCTTCTTCCTGTTGCAATGCAATTGAGAGGATGTCTCTATTAGAATTCATTTTGATTTAGTAATATTTTTTTTTGCAGTTATAGGGAGACCAATAATTATGATTTAAAAGAAGTTCTAGGCAATGGCTAAGCATGCCACCAAAAAAAAAAACTAGGTGGTTTTGCTTGATTGTTTATCAAACTAGACATTATTTGAAACCTATATAACAAAAAAAAAAAAGCAAATCAGAATTATTTTTCTCTTATACATGTGAAGAAGGAGGCAGAAGATGCTAGATTTAGCATCCTGGAAGACTTTGAAAGCAGCAGTTGTCCTTCCTTTCTCAAAAAGTGACCCTTTTCTCTTTTATTATCAACTAAAAATAAAAATTTCAGTTGCTGATGGAGACTTGGAGGGGGACCCATAATTTTCTTTAGAAAAGCATGACCCTTTAGAGATCATAACCTTTTTAGAGAAGAGCCAAAAACCTATTTGAGTAGAATCTTCTGAAGTGGTACACAACCAAATTATGCAAGGCAATTGGCTTCAGTTGTTAGACTGAATAACCTGTTGTCTCTGATCTGTTAGGAAACAGAGAATATGCATAAAAATAGCGGTTCTTCAGAAGTGTTTTTCCAGTGCCCAAAATACATATCTACTCTCCCATAAAACAACTTGTTTTATATTATACACTCAAGAGACAAAATAAAGTAGATTTTGGTTCAAAAAATTAACATATTTGGTTTACTCACAATCTTCATGTGTTCCGCATACACGAGTACACAACTTATCAGTTAGTTACAAAAACTTTGAGATATCTGTGTTTCTGTGCCATCCGGTCAGAACATCTCTCTTACAATAAATAGCAGGCAAGTGTTTGCACATCTGTGATCTGAGCTGTCCCAAAGTCTCAAGAAGTCTGTACTCTGTGCTCATCTCAGAGCAGACCACATGACCTGCAGCCCCTCTCACAACTTCTCAGGAAAAACATAGAGCAGTGGTTCTCAACCTGTGGGTCCCCAGATGTTTTGGCCCACAACTCCCAGAAATCCCAGCCAGTTTACCAGCTGTTAGGATTTCTGGGAGTTGAAGGCCAAAACTTCTGGGGATTCACAGGCTGTGAACCACTGACATAGAACAAGGAAAGAAAGCTGCATACCAAAACATACAAACAATAAGTAATCAACAGGATTATAGATAAACAAATTACTAGAGGAGGCTTGAAGAAAGTTGTAATTTCCAGCCATTTTTATTGTTCTGAGTCCCAGGAATAAGTGGTTGGACCTGCTCTTAGGACCTGTCAGAGTTGACCAATTCCAATGTAAGTATCCTAGTTTATTTATGTATCGTGTCAGGAGCAACCAGACATTTGTATTACATTTTTAACTAAACAAACAAACAAAAACAGACAAAACACAAAATTTGCAAGCTTGGTAGTTGATTAAATGTCCTTTGCCCAGTATCTGGCCACTTGGAGTTCCTCTGCTGTTGCCGGAAGGAGGTCCTCCATTGTGCATGTAGCAGGGCTCAGGTTGCATTGCAGCAGTTAGTCAGTGGTTTGCTCTTCTCCACACTCGCATGTCGTGGATTCCACTTTGTAGCCCCATTTCTGCATCTAGTGGTGCCAGAACGCAGTCTGTTCAGCGCCTTCCAAGTCGCTCAGTTTTCTGTGTGCCCAGGGGGGAGTCTCTCATTTGGTATCAGCCATTGATTGAGGGTCTGGGTTTGAGCCTGCCACTTTCGGACTCTCGCTTGCTGAGGTGTTCCAGCCAGTGTCTCTGTAGATCTTAGAAAACTATTTCTTGATTGAAGTCGTTGATGTGCTGGCTGATACCCAAACAAGGGATGAGCTGGAGATGTCACTGCCTTGGTCCTTTCACTATTGGCTGCTACTTCCCAGCGGATGTCAGGTGGTGCAATACCGGCTAGACAGTGTAGTTTTTCCAGTGGTGTAGGGTGCAGACACCCCATGATAATGCGGCATGTCTCCTGATAATACAGAAAGCCCCTCAGAGTATTGAAATACATGAGGGTGCTATTACTTACTTACTTAGGCGATCCCTCATTGTCTGAGTAGGATTGTCTTCCAAGATCGGTATACTGGCGGTGGGTATGTAGGTGACTGTGGAACCTTATTCTTGACCTGCATGTTCTCCTGCAGTGAGGGCATTGGTTTCCAGGTGGAAGGCGGTCCCTGTCGGTGTTGGCTTGAGGCGCCTTCCTCTTGGCACATTTCTCTCTTTCACCCTCTATTCGTGCCTCTTCAAATTCTACAACACTGCTAGTCACAGCTGACCTCCAGCTGGAGCGCTCAAGGGCCGGGGCTTTCCAATTCTCAGTGTCTATGCCAGAGTTTTAAAGGTTGACTTTGAGCCCATCTTTAAAACTTTTCCTGCCCACCAAAATTGCATTTTCCATTCTTGAGCTCGGACTAAGAGCAACTGCTTTGGGAGACGGTGGTCAGGCATTTGGACAACGTGGTCGGTCCAGTGGAGTTGTTGGAGGAGGTCCATCACTTCAATCACAATGGAGGGTGCTGTAAGCCTATCCTATAAACACAGATGCTGCTGAATGCTTGTGCTTGCAGATTTATCCAGGACTTAAGAGGTCCTAGATTTCTTGTTTTGTCAAGCGCTGTTTCAGAAATAATAATTGGAATTCTTGGGGTTTCTCTAGAAATCTGGGCAACCCACCCAGATTTCATTTTTGATACTACTGCTGCTCTGATTTGTATTGTCTTTGTGCAGGAAGAGCACGAGAACTCAAAGAGACTAATGGAAGAAAAGGCAGAGGAACTGGAGATGAACTTGAAGAATGAGCAGCTGTTGCTTCAAGAAAAGATGGCTCAGCTTAAGGAACAGGTCTGTGCAAGCGGGGGATTGGTTGCTTTTTGTGGAAAGAATGTAAGAGGTGACTTCATGATCTGCTTGCAATGGTAAATGTTACTAATTCACATAGTAGTTTGCTGACTATGTAGGTTTGAAAATCTGTCAGTTTTATTTAGACAAGAATGTGATGGTTGCATAGGATATAACCCCCTTTACATTGGTACTTGTATATATGTATGTCAGTACATGCCTAGATTTCTAGTGAGTACGTCTATAAAGCCAGCCTCTCATATCCCCCAATATCTTGTTTCTGAAATCCAAATAACAAATTTCAATTTTGCCATTCTATAGAGGATAGCAGCAGATATTATTTCTGGATTATTTTGTTTCCATTGGATGTTTTGTCTTATGTCTGTTATAACAGGCTATGCTTTTTTAGTTTGTTAAGTTATAATTTGTATTTATATGTTGGGTGGTATAAATTTTGTTAGTATGGATGTATTGTTGTTGTATTCGGGCATTGGATGTTTGCCTTTTATGTTTGGAATCCGCCCCGAGTCCCTTTGGGAAGATAGAGCAGAATATAAATAAAATTTTATTATTATTGTATTGTCGAAGGCTTTCATGGCTGGAATCACTAGGTTCTTGTGGGTTTTTTCGGGCTATAGAGCCATGTTCTAGAGGCATTTCTCTTTTATTATTATTATTAGGAATCAGCTGGTTTCCCCTATAATAGACAATAAGAGCATCTAAAGCTTTGGAGAGTTTCTGTTCAACCATTTCAAAGCTCCCTGCTTGGGCGGTGATGGCATGATCGTCGGCATAGATGAAACTGTCCCTTCTGTATAGAAGAATCTATTGAATCTGCAGATGTGGATACCCATGAGATCCTGGAACCAAACCTAACAGAATATCAAGGGCCCACTCTGTGTGTTTGTTTCTGTGACTGTATTACGATTAACAAAATGCTGTTCATTCTACTTTGCAGCTTGAAAAGAATGCCAAGTCTAACCTGTTACTGAAAGATTTGTATGTGGAAAATGCACAGCTGATGAAAACTCTGCAGGTTGCCGAACTGAGGCAGAGGAATACCGAAAAAAGGAATTTAGTCCTGGAAGAAAAAATCGCATCCTTGAATAATTTAATTGGAGAAATTACCCTGGCATCTCAATGAATTTCATCTACTTTTATGTTGCTTTAAACTGGAAAAGGCAATCACTGGTTAGAGACAGTCTTACACTTTGTGGCCAACGTTTTTGTACAGATTTCTGACCTTCGAAAAATAAGCTTCACTTTTAAGGAACAGGATTCTCATAGAATACACTGTGTGGAGAAGCTTCGTTAGGGTGAAAACACTTTTCCAGGAAGTATAAAAGACAAAAGGTATTCTCAGGGAGAAGTTTGAAGTTGGAGACAAAGCTTATTAGCAGTACAGTGAATACACACCTCATTTTTTCCAATGGAAAAGCTAAAATTACTGCCTTCTGGATGAGTTCTCCAAAAGCAGAATATTCTGTTCTGTTTGGGGATTGCTTGATAGTTTCTGTAATAAGCAATATTCTTGTTGCCCTCCTTCCAAACTTGTCTGTACACTGGTTTGTATTGTGTGTGTATATGTATGTACAGTTTTCTACACCTGTGTAATAGTCATTTCTGAAAAACTATATCAAAGGTGTCAAATTTGTGGCCCTCCAGATGTTTGGGCCTCCAACTCCCAGAAGCCACAGCCAGCTTGTCCAGTGGCCAGGAATTCTGGGATTTGAAATCCAAAACACTCGGAAAGCCACAGGTTTGACACCACTTTTTGAGAAGATCTGCTGTAAAATTGAAAGGAGCTTGCAGTACTTTTGGTGTGCTTTTGGTATAAGAACCTGACAAGATTTTTAATTAAATGCTATTTATACTGCTTTATGCTGTCGCGTTGAATTTTGTGACTCTTATAGTGATGGGAGAAATATGTTCAAGTGTGAGTCTAGTTCAAGCATGGAAACCTTGAGACCTGAAGGTATTTTGGACTTCAACTCCCACAATTCCTAACAGCCTCAGGCCCTTTCCTTTTCACCCTCAGCCGCTTAAGCGGCTGAGGGTGAAAAGGAAAGGGCCTGAGGCTGTTAGGAATTGTGGGAGTTGAAGTCCAAAACATCTACAGGGCTCAAGTTTTCCCATACCTGCTCTAACCAATGGAAACTTGAGGTCAAAAATACGGACTCTGTGCCATATTAAGAGATGGAAAATAGCAGCTGGAAACTCAAGGATAGCTATTACGATTGGCCGCCTCCTAATCTCACAACTCTTGAACTTGTTTGTCCTCTCCTTGTACTTACAATTCAGTACTCCTCCACTGCATGAACCTGTTTAGCCTGTTTTCAACCTCACACACTACACAACTAACAAAGAGCGGAATGACAGGACAGTCATCTGTATAAATAAAAATGTAATGTTCGAGAGATCTATACCATCTCTCTCTGTGTGTGAATCATATCTATCTATACCTATGGCTGGATGGCTCTGTCAGGAGGGCTTTGTGTATGTTTTCTTGCCCTGGTGAAGGGAGTTGGACTGGATGGCTTTGAGTTTTCCGTTGGTCATGGGGGTTCTGTGTGGGAAGTTTGGCCCCATTCTGTCGATGGTGGGGTTCAGAACATTCTTTGATTATAGGTAAACTATAAATCCCAGTAACTACAACTCCCAAATGACAAACTCCATCTATGTTCATATTTGGGCATATGGAATATTTGTGCCAAGTTTGGTGCAGATCCATCATTGTTTGAGTCCATGGTAGTCTCTGGATGTAGGTGAACTACAACTCCCAAACTCAAGGTCAATGCTCACCAAACCCTTCTAGTGCTTTCTGTTGATCATGGAAGTCCTGTATGCCCCGGTTGGTTCAATTCCATCATTGATGGAGTTCAGAATGCTCTTTGATTGTAGGTGAATTATAAATCCCAACAACTACAACTCCCAAAAGACAAAATCATAATTTTTTGAGTGATAGTCACTCCTTGTGTTGTGAGACATTTTGTTGCCAAATTTGGTGTGATGTCATTCATTGGTTCTTTTGCTTTTAAGGTACTCATTATGCACAGAACATTTATATATATATAGATATACACACACAAAACACATATACACAGACTGGGCCACAGCAACGCATGACAGGGGGCGGCTAGTACAATATAAATATAGAAATTGCATGTTTTGACAAGATTAATATTTACAACAGTGGCCGTACATAATTGAAGGAATAAAGACAACAACATGCTAGTGAAAATATTCTGGCTTTATTTTATAATGACATGTATCATAAGCACGTTGACTTTATTGTTGGTGAACACAAAGCTCATGCTCAAAGATTTTGGGGTGCAAAGACAGCAGTTTTAAAAACATTTCCAAGACAAGTATCCTTGAAAGTGTTTTTCTGTATCTTCTTTTCTTTCTTCATGAGGTACTGATACAGCTCTCACATTATCATTCATCCTATCTTACTTTTTATTTAAAAAGGGAAAGCACTGTGATATTTTGCTACTTACATCTATTTTAAAACGTGTTAAAATATTAATCTACAAGGCTTTTCATCAAGTCTCACAGACATCGAGTTTATGATAGCACATGCTCCAAAATCCCTTGCCTGATTAATTGTTCACATTTCCAGCGTGGTAGAAAATGCTGAAGGGAAGAAAAAGAAAGCGTTTTCAAGTCTTAAGAAATGTTATAAATAACAAAACCCAACAGAAATGTTTTCTCATCTTGGTTTTTAGGCCTCTTCCCGTGGTTATTTGGGGTGCTAATTGCATTGGCTAGTAGGCTTGTGCAATTTGCCCAAAAGGCATACTGTTTTGGGGTCCATTTTTGGCTAACCCCTCAAGTTATTCGAATCGGGAGGAGTATTGCCATTTTCATTTGGCAAAGATTCAGTCCATTGTCTACAATGGGAAACTTTAAAGTAGTGGTTCTTAACCTGTGGGCCATGGACCACCAGTGGTCCGTAAGGATGAAAATCTGGTTTGCGAGCCTCCTTCCTCTTTATTTAATTTAGTTTATTTCCGCTCCTTTCGTGCCACCTGCCACTCCTTTCTTACCATTGACTAGCCCTGCCCCCTTGGATAGACCACATCAGCTCTTGATTATTAAATATGGTTTTCTGTGGGTGAGCAGATGGCAACTACTGGGTGGCATATGTTCTGTATCAGAAACTAGAGCTGATGTGGTCTATCCAATGCAGTTTTCTGAATCAGCACCCCAAATAACCAAACCAAATCTAAAGTTGACCAAAAATTGATTTTTAACCCTTTTAGTACTAATGTTGAAGAGCGGTCCCTGGTCAAAAAAAGGTTGGGAACCACTGCTTTAAAGACTCAATCCTCAGTCATTTAAAGGCCTATCTGCATAAAACATACCTCAGTTTTAGACCCCATTTACAGCTGCAGGCCTGCCAAGTTTCAGAACAATTCACCAATTTACTGATTTTTAAGAATTATTTAAAAAAAATTACCATAACATTTTTAAAAATAAGACAAACCGCAAGAGAGGGTTCTGGGAATTGTAGTTGCTGGTTGTGTCCATTTTCAGCCAATCAGAGCATGGCTGAGAAATAGAGAGATAAAAACTTCAATGGCCATCATACTCTGAGAGGAACTCTAAATGCCTGCCCCATGTAAGTGCCCCTGGGAAAGCAAGTTCTCAGCAGTGCCCTCCCTGGCGGAGAAGCCTAGGGAACTTTTCCGCTGCTGGGGAAGGAGAAAAAATGCTGCAGGATCTTCTCCAGGAACACTGCGGCAAACCTCTGAGTTCAGGTATAATGCAGACTTAACACCATCTTATCCAGTAGCCAGAAATCCAGCTCTCTTGATCTGTTTTGCCCATCTTTTCAGTTCCCTCCTCCCCATTCTGTTTTTGGGGAATTACATGAAATGGACCATCAAATATTACAAATCACTTTCAGTCAAACTGATCCACACCCAAGCCTATTGGCTGCTCAACATCTGCTCTAGTTTCTTAAATACGGCTATCGTGATTCTCTATGGGCAAGCCCCTGTAATATAATAAATCTCCATGCTGTGCTATTTTGTCCATATAACTAAAACGTTTTGTAATTACATGCAGGAACATACTTTTGAAAAAATCCAAATGTACCCAGTTTTTGACAAAATCGTTAGATATGATAGAAAACAAGGAGGAGCATGGCAGATTGTGCAAGACATGCATAACATGCAGAAAACTTCTGATGAATTCTGGCACTAAAGGAATACTGAAGGCCCAGTTTCACTTCCTTGATGCTTTTCTACCTTTTCTCAGCATGTCACTAGTTCCCCATTAGCATTTTTTCCTCCTCTTCTCTCCCTCTAATGCAGTGGTTCCTAACCATTTTTTTTACCAGGGATCACTCTCCAACATTAGTACCAAAAGGGAAATGAATAAGTTTTTGGTTAACTTTAGATTTGGTTTGGTTATTTGGTTGCTGATTCAGAAACTTGCATTGGACAGATCACATCAGCTCTACTTTCTGATACAGAATGTATGCCATCCAGTAGTCACCATCTGCTCGCCCACAGAAAACCATATTAAATAAGCCTCGGCACTATAAGAGGGTTTGGCAAGACCAGTCACTCTTGTTGCAATGGTGTAGTAATGTTGAGGCTGTGGACCATATTTTACTTCTTGCGGATCCAGGCCATATTTTAGTTCTTGCAGACCACTGGTGGTCCACAGACCACAGATTGGGAACCACTGCTCCGACGTGTGTCGAGAGGTACTAACCCATGCAGCTGCCTTTCAATAGAAGGCTTTCAAACAGTGGAGGAAACAAGCTGACAGAGGAATTGTTATCATATACAGCTATGGAGAGGGGGAAAGGGGTGTGAAGGGGGACCTAACACTTATTGTGGGATCTAGATACTGTTTCTCATATATAGCTGACTCCACACAAACAGTAGGAACCAAAGCTAATATACTGAAAGAAATGATCCCAGAAGCCAACCAATTAACTTGTCAGAAATACCTGGCTGTTCTTCTTTAGCAGAATTGTGGTGCCATCATCAATTTCAAATTCCCCATAGTCTTTTAAACACCGAACCTGAAGGGGAAAAAATGAATTAGCTGTTGGCTGGTTACAAGCTGTGTCAGCATAAACCTGATTAAAGACAACAGTTAGCTTTCCAAGTTTGAGATAAGACATTTTTATCTTTTTTATATATAAAAATAAAATTCACACTTTAATAAGCTACATTTATCTTTCATTTGTCCCTTTATCATACTTCAGTATGGAAAATATTACTAAATTTTTATGGAAAAAAGTAACTAAATATCTTTTGGAAAACTCTTCTTCCTCTTCCTTCTTCTTTTATACCTCGCCTTTCTCCCCGAGGGGATTCAAGGCAGCTAACATTCCACACTAGACAAGTTGAAAAGGTGCAATACTAAAGTAAAAAACAATGGTAACTGTGTGGAAAAAACAGATTTAAGACATATTTACTTATAACCAATCTTGGAGAAAATAAATTGCACAATTTTTAGTTTTACTTACTTCAATGTACAAGCTTTTCGGGGGTTTGATGTCCTGTGTCAGGTCCAGCCCATCTCCTCCTCCTAATGATCTCATGTAGGTAGCCAAAGATTTTTTGTACTGATTGAACCACAGCATCTGGAGATGCAATTTGTATTAGTAATTAATTCCAAATATTGTTTTCAAACTATTAAAAGTTAGCAACGTAACAAAAACAAAACAAAAAAGAAAAACAGATAAGAAACTTCCCTGTACTGCAGAGAGTTCTGTGTCAGGCTTTAGAGCATGCTAAATTCACCTTTTGGGTCATTTCCTGTGAACCTGGAGGAGCTATAAAGCTAGAAGTGGACAAAAAGTACAATAGGATCGCTGGATAATTTGCAATAGATAAGAGAGGGCTACTGACTCTGAATTGCTTCTAAACATATGCACTGTCTGCTGTATAGCAAAGAACCGGAATAACAAAATTCATTATGAACCACACTATGATGTTCTGTAACAAATATTAATCAATTTAGATTTAGCAAGTAAATAATTTATAGTCCACATCTGACTGGCTTACTTCATCAGCTGACATCTGAAATCTGACAGCGTTTGGCAAGACACTCCCATATTCCCACCTAAGCGCCCGGATGCGAAGTAAGCGGTCATATCTGGTGGGAAAAAAAAACACCCACAATGTATTCATAATTAGAAACATAGGTAACTTGACTTCCCATCGCATAATGTTACCATCGGAGTCTTAGGTAACATCATAATTAATTCTTTAATTCTGCAGAGAGGAAGGTTTTCTGAATTAATTCTTTAATTCTGCAGAGAGGAAGGTTTTCTGAATTAATTCTTTAATTCTGCAGAGAGGAAGGTTTACAATTTAACACATAAAAATCATACAAATATTCAAAAAGGATTAAACATTGGAACCCATTTTCATACTTTAGTAATTTGCATAGCATGGTTTACGAAATGGTGTGAGAAGCAAACAACCACAACTTCCATGCAATTCCAGCGACTGAGAAAAAGGTCTTTCAAAATTAAGTCTCAGAAGTGAATGTGACATCATTTGTGACAGAGCGATGTCACAGATGACCTTCAGAAACTTACAGATAGGCAAGAACACATCGTCGATTTCTCAGCAGAGAGCAATGGCGAAATTTGATTGTTGGGATCAACTCGTTGTGTCCGGATTTAGCTTCATTTCTAATAACATAAGCATAAGCTATATTACACCCTTGGGAAGTAAAATGCATTTGTATATGTCTGCAACCAACCATTTGTGAAGTCATAAACTTCCTCAAACAAAACATGTCAGTCTAAAGGGGAAAAGAACAGCCATTAAACTAAGTAAAAGCTTTTGCACCTGTGAATTTTCTATAAGCAACATGTGAATTTCTGCCTCATTTAATTTTCAGTCAGGATTAAACTTTCACAGTCAGACTAGCTAGGCATTTCATTTGAAATGATTTCTAAAATGTTTCTGAAAGTCCCATAATTTGTACCGAAATCACACTTAATTGGGGAAAAATTTAAGGTGTGAAAGCAATGGAGTTACTGGCAAGTACTTGGACACATGCAATTTATGTTATTATCGTGTTGTCGAAGGCTTTCATGGCCAAAATCACTGGGTTGCTGTGAGTTTTCTGAGCTGTATGGCCATGTATAAATGTGAGAGGAAGTCACAGGGAAGAGGGAGCAAGTTTGTTTTCTGCTTCCTTGGAGACTAGGACGCGGAACAATAGCTTCAAACTACAAGAGAGGAGATTCCATCTGAACATGAGGAAGAACTTCCTGACTGTGAGAGCCGTTCAGCAGTGGAACTCTCTGCCCCGGAGTGTGGTAGAGGCTCCTTCTTTGGAAGCTTTTAAACAGAGGCTGGATGGCCATCTGTCAGGGTGATTTGAATGCAATATTCCTGCTTCTTGGCAGGGGGTTGGACTGGATGGCCCATGAGGTCCCTTCCAACTCTTTGATTCTATGATTCTATGTTCCTAAAGCATTCTCTCCTGGTGAAACATCTGGAATGCTTCTGACGTTTCACCAGGAGATAATACTTCTGGAACATGGCCATACAGCCCGGAAAGCTTGCCGCAAACCTATGTTATGAATGTTGTATGAAAACATTCTACATTACATTCTTTTAAAATTAAATATGTTAGACTACATGCTATTTTCTTTTCAGTTTTTATCTTAATGGAACAAATGTTGTTTTTCCCAAATAAAATCTTTCCTATTCTTCAGCATTAGCTATTCTTAAAGTTTTAGCTACGCAGTGAGCTGTCAGGGCAAGATCCTATACACTTGTAGGATAGTATAAATACGTACCACTGTAGGGCCCCACGGATGTGCAACTGACACACAGGCTTTGATTTCACTCATTGGACTATGGTTGATTAGTTCCTCACACATCAAACCAAAACAGGAGAAGACCTTGAGGGCTTGTGGAACAACTGACTGCATGAAGAGCTACAATATTTATTATTTAGATGTATTATTTATTTTACTGAAAGAACTTACACATCACTTTGGTTCTGTTCATATAATGCTTTCATCTCCTCAAGAACTTGTCTAATTCCATCCTCCTGAAATTTAAAATAGCACCAGCTTCAACAAGTATTTCAAATAGTATATAGTGCTTACAAAGACTTCAATTAATGAAAATTCAAGCTTCATTTCCTTTCAAATATCTATTCACTGTGAAAAGGAGGCCATAGGCTAAGTTTATACCTGAATAAACATTGTTCTCCATACTCACTAAAATCGCCACTCCTTGAAAAAAATTCCAGTGCTATCTGTGCCTCTATTCAGAAGATTTCACCTCACTTTCTGTCTCTGTGATAATTGGATTTGGGGGGGGGGGGGGAAGGCTTGTTGTGGATAAAACTTCAGTGGAGACACCTTTACCCCTTGATAAGTCTTTCAGGAGTGGATTTCCCTTCCAAGGGGTAGATTTCCTCTCACTTTGTGTTGTCTCAGCCCCGATCTTAACTAGAAGTTGTTTGTAATTCATTTGTTTGTAACTCAGGAACTGCCTGTACATGGAAGTAGGGCCACGTATATTCTTAGTGTCTTTTGAAGTATCATAGAACAGAGGCCTGGGAAATAAAAACTCCATAAACGTAGGATACATTTATATTGTAGAATTCACACAGTCTGATCCTATTTTTATATTATATTTTTTCACTGATTTATTTTTAATTGTCTGCTTTGTACTGCCATTGAATGTTTGCCATTTTTACTTTGGAGGCTGCTCTGAGTCCCCTTGGGGAGAGAAGGCTGGTTAAAAATAAAGTATTATTATTATTATTATTATTATTATTATTATTATTATTATTATTATTGCTTTCAACTGCCATGGCTCAATGCAATGGAATCATGAGAGTTGTAGTTTCATAAGGTCTTTAGCTGTCTCTTCCAAAAAAAAAAAAGTGTTGGTGCCTTTTACCATACTACAAATCTCATCATTCCATAGCATTGATTATTGTTTTTATCAACCAGAGCAGTGGATGAGATGTTTTAAATTGCTAAACATAATTTATGTTTATTTGTGGATGATGGTTTTGTGTCAATTTAATGTTTTGTTTCACTTTTTAAAAGATATTTTTATTTATTTTATCATATTTCAATACAGTGTTTATACATCATTCGTTTTACAGAAGACACATTATATTCAGAACAATTTACATTAACTCTTTGGCATTTACTTTTATTTTTACATATTTTTTATCCCTCTCCACAATGTTCCCCTCCCCCCGAGCCACAGCTTCCGTCCAAAATTTCATTTCCCCTTTTGTCTTTCTTTTTTAATCCTTTTTCAATAAATGTTCTTCATACATAATCAAAATCACTTTGTTTCCAAATCCCTCTTTTAACTTTTAATTTACATGTCAGCTTGTCATTTATTGACAATTTCCATACCTTCTTATACTTACACTTATACCTTGTCTTTCCCTTTTCCAATTCCATGCTATAAGCAGTCTTGCTACTGTTAATAAGTTTATTGTCACATCTTTGTCCTCTTTTTTCACTTTTGTTTCACTTTAACATCGATTTTGTGTTGTTATTTTGTAGACTGAATTTTAAATTTGTTTAATGTATTGTCGAAGGCTTTCATGGCCGGAATCACTGCATTGTTGTAGGTTTTTTGGGTTGTATGGCCATGTTCTAAAAGCATTCTCTCCTGACATTTCGCCTGCACCTGGGGCATACATCCTCAGAGGTTGTGAGGTTTGTTGGAAACTGGAAAATTGGGTTTATATATCTGTGGAAGGTCTAGGGTGAGAGAAAGAACTCTTGTCTGTTGGAGCTAGGTGTGAATGTTTCGATTGGCCACCTTGATTAGCATTTGATGGCCTGGCAATTTTTTGGTGAGGCTTGTTAGTGCCTGAGGGAATCTTCCATTGAGAGGTGATTAGCTCTCCCTGATTGTTTCCAGGCTGGAGTTTCCCTGTGTTTGAGTTTTGTTTTTTATTTACTGTTATAATTTTAGAGTTTTTTTTAGTACTGGTAGCCAAATTTTGTTCATTTTCATGGTTTCCTCCTTTCTGTTGAACTTGTCCACATGCTTGTGTATTTCAGTGGCTTCTCTGTGTAGCCTGACATGGTGGTTGTGAGAGTGGTCCAGCATTTCTGTGTTCTCAAATAATATGCTGTGTCCAGGTTGGTTCATCAAGTGCTCTGCTATGACTGACTTCTATGGTTGAAGTAGTCTGCAGTGCCTTTCATGTTCCTTGATTCGTGTTTGGGCAATGCTGATGCATTTGGTGGTCCCTATGTAGACTTGTCTACAGCTGCACAATATACAGTAGACTCCTGCACAGCTGCATGGTATCTGGTAGACTCCTGGCAAATTGGTTACTTGTTATATTACTGTTTATTGTTTGCATTGGTCACATTTTTGTAAGCCACTCCAAGTCCCCTTGGGGAGATGGGGTGAGATATAAATAAAGCTTATTATTATTATTATTATTATTATTATTGAACCATGGTAGCTAAAGTGGTGCCCGAACTCTTCAATCTTCAGGCAAGGCCCTCCTCTCACCCTTGCCAGTCTCTCAGACTCACTTTGTGGGTACAAGGGAGACAGCCTTCTCCTCTGTGGCCCCCCGACTCTGGAACTCATTGCCCGGAGAGATTAGGAAAGCCCCTTCTTTAGAAACCTTTAAAAAGAGTCTCAAGACCTGGCTCTGCCGTTGCACCTTCGGAGAGTAGTTCACAAAACTTCATGCTATTGCTCCCTCAGCGTTCTTGTCCCAGGAGTTTCTCCCCCCACCCCTTGTATGTAGGTTTATTATCCCGTCTCTCTATGAGTTCTCCATACAATTAGTTTTACCCCTTTATCTCACCAGGAGTTTTCAAATCATTTTATGTACAGGAGGCCTGCTCTTTGTCTTTATGTTTGGTTTTTATGCTCTATGTTGTACAGGAGTTGATTATAAATTGTATGATTTTAACTGTATTTGTGTTTAGATTGGCTGCAGTAATGCTGGAGCGGCCTAAGTCAGAGGAGTCCTCCATGTGCGTTGCCATGGAGACTGATGCAGGAGAGAGGGAAGTGGGAGGAGCTTAGAGGGGAGAGTCTGAAAAAACGTCAGTTAAAAATCAGTCAGGGTTTAGGTTTAGAGGAGTGAGCAGTCCGGGTTTAGGTTCAGAGGAGTCAGGAGTTAGGTTCAGAGGAGTGAGGAGTTGGGAGAGAAGGAAAGGAAAGGTGGCGGAGTGACTTGTGAAGCAAAGCTTTGAGGCTTTGAAAAGCTGGGTTTGGCTATTGGAAGTTTCTCAGGCTAGTGTAGCCGAATGGTGAAACATAGCTGGTATTCTTTTAGTCTAAGGAGAAGCCAAAGAATAGTTTGCTTAGTATTTGATCTAGGGAGGATCAAATAAGGGAAACATCCCTGTATTGAAACTTTGTCTGAAACAAGTGCTCTACGTCAGAAAGATACTGTGTTACTTGAAAGAATGAACTGTTAAAGTTACAAGTATTATTCCAAGTGCAACAAGGAAAAGTTACGTCTTGCAACCACACGCTGTGTACTTAATAAAATTGTTAACTTTTATTTGAAGATTGCCTCAGCTCCGTCTATTCTGTGTCCAAAGTGCCATTTCTCACAATATTACAACTTACCTCACGTGGTGGCAGAAACGCAGGGAAAAGTAACCAAATAAATCTACATTCTTCTCTCCAGTCACGCTAAAGTATATACAGTGTAATTACTACTAAGTTATTACTTTCTTAATAAAGGAGGAAGTGCAATTGAACAGCCTCCCTTCCAACTTGATGGTAAAATTGGGTTCCTAATTGGCAACCTCCATTGCAAATCGGCCAGTTCTTTTTAAAATTGGGAATTGGGGTAAAATCTCCTGAATACTGGTTCCTTTCAAATTGGTCGTAACAATAAATCATCCCTCCGCTCCCCTGCTTCTTTTCATATGTATATTGTTTATATGCTTTGATGTTTTTTACTTTAATGTTATGTTGTTTATTTTACTGTAATTTTGTATTGTAATTTGTTGTTTGGACTTGGCCCCATATAAGCCGCTAAGAGTCCCCATTGGGGGAGATGGTGGCTGGGTATAAAGATTATTATTGTTGTTGTTCTACAGTGCACAGTGACACCACTTTAAAGGTGTTTAAAAGGCTGTTAGGAATTCTGGGAGTTGAAGTCCAAAACACTTGGGAGGGCCCAAGTTTGCCCAGGCCTAGTATACATGCATCCTAAATTTATGAAACTTCCCTTTCTCAAGTTTCTGTTCTATGATACTTCAAAATACACTAAGACTATATGTGGCCCTACTTCCATTTTGTCTACCTTTAGAAATAGCCATGGTTATATTCTCTTGCGGCTTTAGATAATGATAGGAATCTATTCCCAAGCAGCAGAGCCACAAGTGTGTTTTGGACTCCAACTCCCAGAAGCCTTTGCTGCCTTGGCCAATGAGCAGGAATTCTGGGAGTTGAAGTCCAAAACACTTGGGAGGGTAGAACCAAATTTTAAACAGGCTCACGTTGTAGGAAGGCAGCTGCCCGTCGCTGGCGCGGTGGAGCTCCCGGATGAGCTCGGTGGCTTTCTCGCAGAACATGACTTTCTCCCAAACCGGGCCCAAAAGAAGCCTCTCAGCGACAGAGGCCCTCACCCGTCGACCGCCGGAGGAGAACTAAGTGAAACCCGCGCCTCGAAGCCGCTCAGCCAATAGCAACGCAAGAAAGTTGAGAAGGGGCGGGGACAAACATCCTCTCGTACGGGAGAGGAGAAGGGACAAACGAGCCTGTATCACGCTTTTAAATTCCTTATGCTCCTGCAACTCTTGGCATGCCACCTGCATTGCAGGATGCAGCTTGACACCACTTTTATAACTCCAGTGCAATCACGGGATTTGTAGTTTGTTGAGGCACCAACCCTCTTTGGCAGAGAAGGCTAACGACCTTGTAAAGCGACAACTCCCAGGAATCTACAAACCTGAGCCATGGCAGTTAAAGCGGTGTCAAACTGCATCAATTCTGCAGTGTAGAATGATGCACCTTTCCCACACACTGCAGTTTGATGCCACATTAACTGCCATGGCTCAGTGCTAAAGAATTCTGGCAATTTTAGTTTTGCTGGATATTTATCCTTCTGTGTTCAATCTGGTGCCACAACAAACTGCACATCCCAGAAGTCCATAGACTGAAGCTATGGTACTTAAAGTGCTGTCAAAATGCTATAATTCTGCAGTGTCCCACGGTCATCTTTTTCCTTCCTCTTGCATCTTTTAAATACCCTATTTCTTCTGATATCAGATGGAATTGATACTTTAAGACTTCCCTTCACCATTAATTCAGCTACAGACATTTATTTATTTATTTATGTCATTTTCTATTGGCAGCCAATACTGAAAGGACCAAGGCAGAGACATCTCCAGCTCATCCCCTATTTGGGTATCAGCCAGCACGTCAACGACTTAAATCCAGACATAGTTTTCTAAGATCTACAGAGACACTCCTGGAACACCTCAGCAAGTGAAAGTCCAAAAGTGGCAGGCTCAAACCCAAAACCTCAACCAATGGCTGATACCAAATGAGAAACTCCCCCCTGGGCACACAGAAGACTGGGCGACTTGGAAGGCGCTGAACAGACTGCGCTCTGGCACCACAAGATGCAGAGCCAACCTTCAGAAATGGGGCTACAAAGTGGAATCCTCGGCATGCGAGTGCGGAGAAGAGCAAACCACTGACCACCTGCTGCAATGCAACCTGAGCCCTGCCACATGCACAATGGAGGACCTTCTTGCAGCAACACCAGAAGCACTCCAACTGGCCAGATACTGGTCAAAGGACATTTAATCAACTACCAAACTCACACATTTTGTATTTTCTCTGTTTGTTTGTTTGCTTTGTTCTGTTAGAAATGTAATATAATTGACTGGCTTCCCTGACACAAGAAAAAAAATTTCTATCCTGCCCATATCAGCCAAAAGGCTACTCAGGGCGGCGTACAAGTCAGCAACAACTAAATGCCATATATAAAAATATATAAAAATATATACATCGGTAAAAGCAGAAAACATAATCATATATTTAAAACCATAAAAACAATAAATAATAAGAATTATAGAAAACTATGTCTTCTTGTTTAAATCCTCAACCAGACACATAGCACTCTGTTAACACTTTCCCCTGCAGTATTACTTCCTGGTACAAAATACTAAACATCTGTAGCCTTAGTCATTTTCAGATACAGGGTGGACCTGGCAAATCTAATTTTAAAATGTGGACTGTTTTATTAGGGACAAAGGGAAAGTAGGCTGCAGTGAAGAGAATAATATTATCTTGGGCATTTCGTAATGTGGTGCCACCTTTTCCTACCAGAGATATATCTCACCTCTCCTTTCACTGTTTTCTCATCCTCATTCCAACCCTAGGCTACGTTCTTTGAATCCTGTGGCTATATTTTTATGCATGTTAGCCTAGAATGAAAATAATTAATTATACTTTAGACTTCGTATTTCTAGGTGCAAAATTTACTGCAGACACAGACTACAGCCAGGAAATCAGAAGATGTTTACTTCTTGGGAAGAGAGCAATGACCAATCTCAAATAGTGAAGAGTAGAGACATCACACTGGCAACAAAGATTTGCATAGTTAAAGCATTGGCATTCAACGTAGTAGATGCAAGAGCTGGACCATAAGGAAGGCTGAGTGAAGGAAGATAGATGCTTTTGAACTATGGTGTTGGAGGAAAATTTTGAGACTGCCTTGCACCGAAAGAAGATCCAACCAGTCCATACTAAAGCCTGACTGCTCACTGGAAGGAAGGATATTAGAGGCCAAGATGAAGTCCTTTGGCCACATCATGAGAAGAAAGGAAAGCTTAGAGAAGACAATTATGCTGGGGAAAATGGAAGGAAAAAGGAAGAGGGGTCGACCAAGGGAGAGATGGATGGATGGCATCCTTGACTCTGAAGGAGCTGGGGTGGTGACGGCCAACAGGGAGCTCTGGCGTGGCCTGGTCCATGAGGTCACAAAGAGTTGGAAGCAACTAAATGAATAAACAACAACTTTAGAATCGTTATTCTTTCAGTTTTGAATTAATTTATTTCTTTTCTAAGCCCCAGGGGCAGGGAGGGACACTAATCAAAATGAGGCCCATTTTACACTGCCATATACAATACAAAGTATCGGATTTGAACTGGAATATATAGAAGTGTAGAGGGGGTCTGAGTCTTTCTAAGTATTCATCTATATTAAAAAGTCATATGTGTATGTTTGATCGTCAGCAATGGGGCTACAAAGTGGAATCCTCGACATGCGAGTGCGGAGAGGAGCAAACCACTGACCACCTGCTGCAATGCAACCTGAGCCCTGCCACATGCACATGCACAACGGAGGACCTTCTTGCAGCAACACCAGAAGCACTCCAACTGGCCAGATACTGGTCAAAGGACATTTAATCAACTACCAAACTCACACATTATGTATTTTCTCTGTTTGTTTGCTTTGTTCTGTTAGAAATGTAATATAACTGACTGGCTGCCCTGACACGAGAAATAAATAAATCACACCACAAAGTCTTCTACAAAGTCTTCCCAAATAGACTACTACAATGCGCTCTATGTGGGGCTGCCTTTGAAGATTGTTCAGAAACTTCAAGTGGTCCAACGGGCAGCAGCCAAATTGCTCACTGGAGCAGCATACAATTCCCGTTGTGTCAGCTCCATCAGCTGCCAATCTGCTACCAAACTCAGTTCAAAGTGCTGGCTTTAGCCTATAAACGGTTCCAGTCCAGCTTATCTGTTCCCAACATATCTTCCTCTATGAACCATCTCTGAGGTTAAGATTGTCTAAGGAGGCCCTAGACAGGTGTGATTGGTGGGGACGAGAGACAGGGCCTTCTCGGTGGTGGCCCCTCGGCTGTGGAACTTCCTCCCCAGTGAAATCAGATCAGCGCCCTTCCTTCTGTCCTTCAGAAAGAAATTAAAAATGTGGCTGTGGGACCAAGCTTTTGGACAGTAATTTTTCTGTGCAATAAAAATATGGAATTGTTGCCAACTTGTAAGCCACTCTGAGTCCCGTTCGGGGTGAGAAGGGCAGGGTATAAATATAGTAAGTAAGTAAGTAAGTAAGTAAATAAATAAATAAATAAATAAATGGCTTTGTGGATCCGGACCAAACTTCACACACAGACACTTCCTTATCCAATTCCAAATAAATGAAGGGTTTGATCTTAAAGCACCCACCCCCTTTGGGCTCAGAGCAGAGGGAAAGGTGGATTGGCGATAGCTAGGTGAAGTGGTCCTCTCTCATGTGATTGGGAAAGAAAGGAAGTGAAGCAGATTGGCTGCTCCTAAGTGAGGTGTATGAAAGGAGGGAGGAAGGAAAAGAAAAAAGAAAGTAAAGAAGAAGGGGGAAAAACAGAAAATGGATGGGAAGGGGAAGGGGAAGAGGAATGGAAGAGACAAGGAAGGAAGGAGAATGGAAGAGAAAGGGAAAAAGACAAAGAAAGAAGAAGGGTGAAGGTGTATGAGGGAAAACAAGAGAAGAAAGAAAAAGTGAGGGAGAAGATGAAGGAAACGGAGGAAGGAAAGAAAAAGCTGTAAAGAAAATACATACCCAGGCAATGCCAGGTGTATATGACAAGTCGTTCATATATTTTAATTCACTAACAGATGCCTTTTAAGATACATTGTAAATTGCCAGTCACCCTGAACTTAATACATTCCCAATTGCCTTTTGGAAGTGAAATGCCCTCACAGCAATTTGCTACACCCCATCAAGCTGAGACCAGAAGCAGAGATATCTCATCAAATCTATTCAGGGTTTAGCTGCCTTTGGCTGTTCCCAAACTATCACCAGCACCAAGCCATTTTTGCTCTTTCAACTGCTTATTATGAAAGCTGCGACTTTTAAAACTGGTGTTGCAGCTTGTCTCTTTCCAATCACTTTTATCTTTTCACACCATGTAATATAACCCTAATGGATTTCTTTCTCTTTCTTAAAAAAATTATGTGTGAGATGCTCTGGGAGATTTTTTCATTGAAAAACAAGGTTCAAAAATTATAATTCAGTAAATAACCTGCCCTTGAATATAAAGTCTAGGAGAAGCATCATGTGAAAGGGCATTTAATGACTGGGAACACCTGCAGAATCTAATAGCAGTCTCTAGGAAACAGCACAGTTGTTCTCAGAGGTTCAATTAGGCAACTTTTACCTACATGTTTATGAGAAGTTCTTGTTTCCAGCTTGTGTGTATTCAAATTGGAACCTGCATCTTTAAATGACTACATGCCCAAGCAAACAAAATCATCAAGTGTTTTTATTATGCATTGTATTTGCCCTCAATATGCTATTTTCAGGAATTTAGGGTGTGGCGGGCTTCAAAGCTTATACAATTATAATCTATGCATGCATTCTGCGTTGTGTGTATGTATGTGTGTATATATATATATATATATATATATATATATATATGCAAATTTCTTGTGTATTTCCATTTACTTTGATGCTTAGCATCATCACATGCTAATTTCAAAACCTGCAAACAGTGGAAGAAAAACAATCACAACTTAGAACTGGACAACACTAACAGAGAACACAAAAGAAAGCATGAATGCCAGTAAATGTTTATGTGAAAGCTGTAAAGGAAAGCTGTAAACACTTTAAGATGAACGTACATGGTATATAATAATGTGCAAAGTAT